CAGAAAATCTGCAAAGCATTGTCTGGGCGTCACTGCACAGCATCGCCTGCGCTCCCTCCCCCAGCCGGGACCGTGGAACCGAAGCGAGAACTGGGGGAGTGATAATTACCTCTAAGCGTACTTAATACTACAGTGCATTATCTCTAGCTATGGAGAAAAATGCTATCCAGCGGTATTTCCCCCAGAAGCCTCATCGAGCTGCTCTCTGAAAACTCTCAGGAGTCCCGTGAAACGGTAATAGAAAGTCACAGGCAGCCTGGGAAGACGTCGGGTTGGATTTGGTGAGGAAGCGTGCTGGCGGCTCGCAGCCGGGCACCGCTCTGATCAAGCCGTGGGAGAGGATGCAGCAAGATGAGTCAAGAATTGCATCTCCCGAAACCAAGTTGCCTGCTGTTGAAACATGGACGTTGCAGACAGCTGTTGGTGGCAAGTGCCACCACCAAGGCAACCCCCAGCTGTCGGCGGAGTCAGAGAAGCATTCTGGTGGAGAGCCGGCTCGCCCTTGACTCGTGGCACGGCAGTGAGCGTAAGGCAAACTTGCGTGTTATGTTCCGCTTGCTCAAAATCCTTAATTTCCAACAGCGAAAAAAATCGCATGACGTACGTCTATAGCGTCACTGGTACTTTTTAGACGGGTACCATTTTGAGGCAGAGAAAGTGAAGCGAAGAAAAGGAGATAAGACAAATCGGTAATTAAGTGGACTAAATGTATATTTGCCAAGAGCAGAGACGGCGTGTGCCCGTGTGACAGCACAGCTCTGGTGTGGTCCCCCCCTCCACCTCCTCCAGGCTCCCATGCATCCCCCTTGCAAACCCAAGCCAATAACGGGGTTGCTGGGATGCTCTTCCACAGAAAAATGCCAAGTGCTCTGGCATTTAAAAAAAAAAAGTAAGGAAAAAACCCCCCCACTGTGTACCTCAGTGTGCGTTTAGAATGGGAGCAGAAATTTTTTTGGGGGAAAAAAGCGGTTAAAGCCCTGCCAAGACGGAGAGGAAGGCTGAGCTTCCCGAGCAGCCACTGAGCGACACTTTCCATAGGACCCAGCGTGGGGGCATCCCACTGCCACCAACGCCTCATCTCCTGGGTTCTTGCTCTCATGTGCCGGATTTTTCTCCCTTTGTACCTCTGCTTATACCGCACGACTGTTTTGAATCTCTAAAATAATGTGACAAGTTAATGATGGCACAATTATCTAAATGTTTAACAGACATGTTATCTAAGTGAATCGGATTGAGATTCCATCCCGCTGACAATAAACATCAATGGGAGAGCAGAAAGTGATAGGCAAATTATCGCCAACCCTGCAATTTCAATGCTATTAAATTTGGAGGAATAACAGCCCTGAGGCCTGTAAACTCTGAATAAAATAGACCCTTGTGTTTGGCCAACTATTAAATCAAAACGCTACCAACATCCCAGCAACAACAAAAAAAAGACAAAAAAAAAGGGGGGGGGAAGATTTATAGCTTTTCAATTTTCAGTTACACGTTGGTTTTATGAACTCTTTTCTGCTCCTTGCGTCCCAGTGCTGGCATTGCCAGCCGGGGGGGATGCGATGGATGTAGGCAGGGGGTGCGGGCAGGCAACACGGGCAGGGGAGGGTGAAGGCTCCCAGGCATCCTCCACAGAGCGGCCGGGGGCACGCTGACTCCACAAATCAAAGAGCCAACTACATGCCAAAGAAAATACATTCTATATTAGGTGTCGAGCATGCCCACGTGAAATTGGGTCAGGAGTAAGTCTGTGCTGGCCCGCTGACTGACACTGGCCGCCCAGCGCGTACAACCTCGCGCGCGTTAATTGCCTTGGCACACGGGAGGAAACTTTAGACGAGTCACCTCTGATATTTATAAAAGTCGGCGGTGAGCCCGAACCCCATTAGCACGAACACCAGCTGTGTGAGCATCCCGAGCCCCACTGGCGCTTGCTGGGGGTACTCAGGCTGTCTTCTCAATGCATTTTGTTTTTTCCTCTACATTTTAGGAGAAGGGTAAGGAATTTTCCACGCTCTCCCCCTGGTGTGGCACCAAGCTTGTGCTGCTGGAAGATGAGCCAAAACAGTTGCTGCTTTTCCTACTGCCACGGGACGGGGGCCAAGGACAGCGAACACCCGGAGAGGGCGTCTCAGTCCTGCGTCGATGGGGCTGTACGCAGCACATAGCCAGCTCTGTGCTTACAAGCAGAAACTATTTTTCCTTTCTTGATCCTTATTTTTTGCCCTGCCTCAGAAAGCAGGGCGTAGGTTTTCTGCTGTAGGACACGGGCAGCGTTTGTTGCGGCACATGTACAACAGGCTGGCTTCCTACTTTGCATTGCCATTCGGAGGGACAGTGAGGGCAATGGGAAAAAAAAATAAGTGAGATAAAGGGGGTCCTGGATCCTGACTGTTCACCCGAGAAAACAGCCCCCTACGCTGAAAAGAAACCCTGAGAACCCTTTATCTTGGCCATCCGCTGCAAAAAAAAGCGCTCTGCAGCTGCAGGTCATCTGGACAAGCAGCGACTGTTTGCAGATAGGTCCCGCATCCTCCCCTAAATACCATGTTTTTGAGCAAAGTGGGTACATTTGGCCGGCCTCTACCAGATGCACCCTGCTTGGTTTTTGATGCTATCCTTGAAGGAAGCTACCTGCGTCTCTACCAAAAAGGGCTATTTTTTTGCCTGGGAGGTTGGAAGGTCTTTTGCCCCCAAGAGGACGCCCCCAAGAAAAACCCACTCTGGGAGATGCCGTTATTTGGGAACGGGGTTAATTATAGCGAGGGCAAGGGAGGGATGCTTTCCGTGCCAAGACAGAGCTCTCTGCGTGCCACCCGAGGAGAGGAAGCGATTCATTTCATCTGCCCTGGCCACCCAGCCCCTCTCCGCCACGTAACCGAGCTGCTTGTGTTTACAGCTGGAGGTGGCGATGATAAACCCGCTCCGCTTGGGTCACCGCGTCCCCTGCGCTCCGTTTTCCTGTTGCCCTTTGAGCTTTGGCATGGTCCAGCCCCCAGGTTTCAGCAACCAAAGGGGCTTTAATCCCCGCAGAAGCGTCAAGGTCGTTAGCAAAACCGTGTAGCTGCTCTGCATCTGTGGGATGTTTTTGGGTGCAGGCGTCATTAAAGAGCTGCTCAACAGCACCCGCTCCCCATGTCACACCCAGGGTTCCGGAGCCCTGGGGTACTAAGGGGAGCCGGGCTCCCTCTGACCACCCCAAGGGATGCTCAACAGCTCCGGGAAATATAAGGAAATGGGGAGCTAGCTGCTGTTTGCTCGGCTGCCTTTAACTCCCTGCCTGGGCTTGGGTCGCTCATCCCTGAGCAAAGTCGGTCCCTTCGGCTTGCTGGCTGCCCCATCACAGCCTTTTCCTCCTCCTTAACCTACAGCACACATGGTTTTTAAAAAGATCCTGAACTGCAAAGCCCAGCCTCCAGCTGTATGACTCTGGATAAGGGGGGCAATTACTTTACAATTTATGAACTGGTGCTCGGCCAGCACAGCTCCCAGATCAGATGACGGCCGGAGCTATTCCCGCCCGGTGACACAGCACTTTACATCGCCAGTCGGTCCCCAAACCCCCGGCGTGAAGCCGGCTGGGCTCGCTGTGCCAGCCCAGCCACCTTACCACTTCTGAGTGCAAACTCAGCCATCAGTGGCATTTATCAGGGTTTTCAGCACTGAAAGACGAGCCTGTGCTCAGTTAAACTGCTCCCGATATAGCGCAGGGAGGAGTGGGTGCTTTGCCCTGCTCCAGCCTGGTTTTGGGGGTTTGAAAGGCTGCACCCGGGACCGCCCGGCCATGAATTCCTCCATGCCCCGTAGCAAACCCTTCCTGGGCAAGGCGGCCTTTGCAAGATGCATAAAGAGCTCCTTGTGCTCCCTGACGGCGGCTATGCCAAAGGACTGGGAAGCGCAGTAGCAGAAACATGGCAGAAGCCAACTGCTGAGAGCTGTTTGGAAAGGGCCAATGTTTTGCTCGCACAGGGAACAAATTACCTCGCATTTGCTGCGCCATCGTTTCCCACGTGCATACGTTAATGCTGAGCAATAAATGCCACGGCGCTGTGTGAATCAGTGCCTCATACCCACGTTTAGTGGAAGAGGAGCTGGGGCTACCTTGCTCCTGCAAAGCACAGGCACCATGCCACTGAATTAATTGGCTGAGCAGCAGAGCCAGGCCAGGCTCGCCCATGGCACCCACTCCAGTCGGGGTTTTAAACCTGTATGAGCACAGGGGAAAGAGGCTTTCTGTGCGCAGCTGGGTCCAGCCCTCCCCCGAAGCCCCATCCTCGGGTCCTGGGTCCCAGAGCATCCTTTCCTATGAGCAGCCGCACACCCGCTGCACAGCCCTATCATCTAGCAGACGCCCGCAGCCATGCATCCACCTTGCGGCAGTGTGGCAAAACCTCCCCAGTGCTCCAGATGCAAGGTGTTTGTTCCTATTAATGCTCTGAAAAACAGCAACAGACCTATCGGCATGGGCTGATTCGTAACTCATCACTCGTAGGCTCCCGAGCATCTGAACGCTCCTGAGAAAAGTATTTATCCATTGGGAAGCTTCTCTTAAACCCGAATGGTAGCCAAGTGCCATCACGCTGGTCAAATTTTGTTGCCTGCGGCTTGAGAAACCAAGGGTGACCAGTGAGCGGTGCAAGGATGCTCAGTTTAACCACAGAGACAGGTTGCGCTCCTCCTTCCACCAACAGCACCGTTACAAGCTCAGCAAAACCAGACCAAACTAAGTCAGCAGCAAATACCCAAAACCAAAAGCCATTTGGGGAGGTTTCCCTTGCAAACGCCACACGCAGATTTCAACACAAGTACAAAACCGTTTCCGATTAAGAATTCAGCAGAAAATGCAGCCAACTTACCTTAATCACATTAAAGTCAAGAAATGGACCCGGGCAGGCCAGAAGCAGGAACTACAAAGAGTTAAGCTCTCCATTGGGCAAAAGGTTACAAAGGCAGCCTAAATATTAAACTCACGCCTAAGCGAAGGACGAAAAGGGAGGGCCACGTACCGGTGTGCGTCTGCCTGTGCGTCTCCAGGGCGTCTTCCTTCGAGAACTGGGCGCCGCACTGATCGCACACCAGGGCTTTGGCGCCCGCTGGGGAGAGAAAGGGGAGAGGAGGGTTATTTGAGGGACGCCCGCACAAACCTGCGCGGGGGATGTGGCTGGGGCCACTGCCATCGTTCAAACTGCCAGGCCTTTGCAATGGAAGGGTTTCGTATTTTAAATACCCAGCAGAGCCGCAAAAAGCAGCGCCTTGCTTAACCCCGTGGTCCCATTCCTTGCACATAACAGCACAATGCACAATAAAGAGTTGCTTGCCAGGAAGAAATTAAATATTTGGGTTTTTTTTTTACAAAAAAAAAAAATCATTAAACGTCAATGCGTTTCATTAGCGTTGTAACCGATCTAATTGTAATTGGTTTCCTGCCCCTTCCCGTCGCAGCCGCTGATGCCGGTACCCGAGGATGCATCTGGTCAGAGATGTGGCCGAAACGGTGCGATTGAGTGAGAAGCTCAGAGGCGTCTTCGACTATTGGAGAGAGATGTCGTATTGGGGGGGAAATTCTTAGAAAATCACTATCAACGTGTGCTGCTAGTTCGGGACGAGAAGAAAAACAGGATGCCCAGCAGCAGATAAGTAACTTCCAGATACAAAGAGATTAGCGATACACACCACGTCTGAATCATTGCTGCTGGGACAAAGCTGCGGACTCATTTCTTAGATTTCGAGGTTTGTTTTGTCTGTTGTGAGGAGCTGAGCGCAACAGAGCAGCCTTCGAGGCGGGGGGTATCGCTCCACAGCATGCCGTGCCGCCTGTTTCCAGGGGTCCAGACAGCATCTCCCATCCCCTTCCTGCCCTTCCCTGAGCCCCCTGCCCCCCAACACGATGAGATTTGGAGAAAGGTGCGCAGAAAAGGTGACAGAGAAAGAGGGAGGTATCACGAGATGCATTAAAAAGAGAATTCCTTCGCCTTTAAATTGTCTCAGTAACGGCTGGCTCGCAGGCAGAAATATTTGGCAGCGGCGAAATTAAAAGTGATAAATTTTCTCGCCAAGCGTTGATCGATAATAGAGGTCTCATCTGTTAATCAATACGACAGTCTGCCTGTTTACTGTGCATACGTTGTTCTCCGCCACCCTCGCCATGATGTCAAGTTTGCATTCAAAACAACCCCAGCGTGCACGGGCCACATGGCCGCTCGCGAAGGGATAAGTACAAAAACCAGGGCTTTGGGGCACCGGGGCAGCTCCCCCTGCACATGCTGCTGGCCGAAAGGACGCATGCCCGGGGTGCTTTCGGGGATGCGGAGTATCTCACGGGCGCGGATGCTGCCGGCGGTCCCCTCCTGTCACCCAGGGCAGGGAGAGGAGCGCGGCGTAAAGGGCGCCAAGAGCGCCCAGGACGGGAAGAAGCTGCCGGAGCGGCGGGGGGACGGGGATCGATAGGGCAGCAGCCGCGGGCTGCCCTCCGCTCGGCATGCCGGCGCGGGTGATGCGCAGCCAGCAGTTGCCAAGGCAATGACTCTCCATCTCCACTCGAAGCTTTTCTGGCCCCACCGCTGCGAACCGTGATCCACGAGGATACAGCAACCCACCGCCGCAACAGGTCCTTCCCAGGCAGAGCAGCCTGCCGGCGCTTGCCCCCTCCCCGCTGCGATGCACCGGTGACGCCGGGGGGAATGCTGTGCTTGGAGTGGGGGGCCCACCCCATCCACGGGCTGGGGCGTGCCAGGGTTGTGCCAAACACGGGCTTTGCTTTTTCTTCCCCCACTTCTGCATGGGGCAAGGGGGGATGACGCACGGGCCGGTGCCCCACGCCCCCCGAGAGGCAAGTGTGGGCCCGGCCGGGGCCAGAGGGGCAGCGGGAGCCCGCAGAGCGGCCCTGCGGAGACACAGCGAGGAAAGGCAAAGGCGGCCAGCATCTGGCCGGGGGGCGGGCGGAGGGGGGGACAGAAAAAAATTCCTGGCGAGGCGAAAATAAACAGGGCGAACGCCGGGAGGAGCTGGGCGCGCTCGCTTACATAAGGAAGCACAGCGTGTACCAAAACAGCGGACCCAAAAAAAGCCGGAGCTGTCAGAACAATGAGTACAGACGAGGGGCATTTTACAGCAGGCGCTGCCGTACAGTTTTATTTACAGTACCTCTTATCAGCGCGGGAACAGCACGCCGCCTGCCAATTTCCAAAGGCCAGGACTGCGTGTTCTTTCCCTCAAGTAGATGTGTACTCCAGGCGGGGGAATTTTTTTCTTTTTTTTTTTCTCATCAGCAAAACAAAAACTGATACGGAGCCAGGATTCCTGTAATGTACACACGCTTGCGGAGAGGGGAGGAGGAGGAAGAGGAGGAGGGAGGGCGGCGATTGAATATGTAAATAGTTCAAGGTTAATTTTACTATGTGAGTCACCGGGAAAAATGTCATCCAACATCTGAGCTTATTATAACAGGGCTCAGAAAAAACCACCACGGCTCCATGTTTGTTATTAAAGGGAGCAGGACGAATTTGAAAGCAGCCCATCCAGAGCCTGTGTCAGGGCTTTCTTTGCCACCTCTCACTTTTTTTCCGTGCTTTAAGCGACAGCCATAGAAACGATTAGCCTCTCCGAAGGTACGCACAAGTTTGGGGTGGGTATTTTTAGCGAGCACCTCGTATCGCCTACAGCATATAGATATCTCCGGATGATCTTCCCGACGGGACGGGACTCCGCGTGCTGCCAAGTATCAGCTGCGTTTCGGCGCGAGCCTCGCAGTTGGCATCAACCTCCCCGCCGTACATTTATATCCGTGCGAGCAAATTTATAGCTCCTGCCTAATAAAGGTCCCTGCAGCGAGAGGCTGGCACGAACGGGCGAGGAGCTGCCGCTTTTTCCGTCCAGCGCTATCTGCACAGTCATCGCCACCCGACATCCCCCCCTCGGCAAGGTCAGCGCTGCCCGGGGACTTCGGTGCCCCCGAAGCAAAGCAATAAGGAGGGGCAGGGCTAAGCTTATTGAATTTCCCCTAAAAGAAATGCGAGGGAACGGCCCAATGCCGGCCAGGACAGGCAGCACCGTCGGGGTTTAAAGCAGCTCTCGGAAAGGGGATGCCCGAAAGGCTAACGTCGAGCATCCCCGTGGGCTCAGCTCGGGCGGGTGCAGGCGGGGGCTGCCAGCTCCCTCCCCTCAAGCCAGGCTTAGCTAGGTGGCTCTGAAGACAGAGCTCGTCTAGTTTTAGCCACTACCATCCCAATAGTACCTCCCAATGCCCATTCACTTTAATTACTTTATTGAGGATGGGGAACAGGCTCTCCAGCTTTAGCACTTCGGATGGTAGGAAGTAGTAAAACATCCCAAACCGGCTGCGAGCGCCGCTCCTTGGCCTGCCTGCCTGCGCTGCTGCCCTGCCTTTAATTGCGGGGCTGCAGCCCCTCGGTCGCTTGACGGCTCCGCTTTCCCATCCCTCTGCCTGCAGAGGCACGCGGTGGAGGGGGCCGGCACAGCAAATGCCTCCTTCCCCTTCCCAACTCAATTTACAATGTACTAAACCACCATGTCCCTGTCCCCAGCTGCGAGAGAAACTCTCATGGGGCTGGGGGCCAAGAGGCTGCGGGGAGAGGTGCTCCGAAAATACAGGCTGTAGCCCAGGAACAAATAAGGGAAAAGGAAAAAGAGGCACCGCGAGCATCCTCTGGAGGAGGAGGATGGGGAAAGGAGAAGAAAGATGGGAAACGGGTGATTTCCCGCTGCCATGCGGGGAGGAGGGTGGTGGGGGAGGACGGGCTGGTGGCAGCAACGCCGTGGCCCTTCCCCACTGCGGTTTTGGCACAGCGGCCCCACCGGTATGATGCAACATCTATTCTCCTCCCTCCCCCAGCACAGGGGATTAATAAAAATTTGGGATTATATATTATTAACAGGCTGTAATTGGCGAGAAGGTGGAGAGAGGGGGGGAAAAATATGGATTAAAAAAAAATTGCCGAGTAAATTTATGCACTGTCGTCGCTTTACTACCTAATTAATTCAGTAATTTCAAAAACAATTTTATTTATGTTCCATTTACCACATCAAAAGTGCAAAGAAAAAAAAAGCACCAAACCACAGTGATGCTAAAATAATACCTCAAGGCATCTATTTTTAATCAGTGAAAAAAAAAAAAGGGAAAAAAAAAAAAGAGCCGGCCCCGCTTTCTATACAATCTCTGTCGGGCAGACCACCAACTCAGGGAGAGCGAAGCAGCCGAGCCCTCCGCGAGTGCCTTCCTGGCTGCCGAAAACAGAGCTTGTCAAAAAAAAACAAATCCATAATGGCCTGAGGCTCCTCTCCAATCTATTTTCTGCTCAGCTGGTTTTAAATGAAGTTATTATGAGTCATTAAAACACCCGCAAGCCTGTGGAAGTCAGCCAATTACAATTTTAAATTTAGCCTGTTCTCTACCCCATTCTCTTGTTTTCTTCTTTTGCCCACATCAAGCTGCTTTTTGATTTTTATTATTGCTGTTATTATTGTCATTATTTCCCTTCTCCCCTGTTTCACCCAAGTGGAAGAGACAGTTGTGAAAATCTCTGCACTAAAAAAATATCTCGGAGAAACCCAAGAAAGGCCAAAAAAAAGACGGAGCTGCAGAGCAGGCTTGGATTTAGAGAGGCAAACGGCTTTGCCTCCTTTTTTCCCCAAAGTGCCAGCAAAAGGCAAAAATTGAATATAAGAAAAAAAGCAAGGCGCAGGCTTTAGAAGGTAAGGAGGGACTGCCGAGCCGAGCGCCAGCCGAAGCCAGCAGATAGGACGAGCCCAGCCCGTGCCCGCCTCTTTGCCATCACCCCCTGCCTTCCTCCCCAGCTTGGAGGGGGGAACAGCTGCGGGGGCAGTGCTGGGGGGGACCCGGGGGGGTTTCAGCAGTTCTCCCGGCCGAGTGCCACGAGTGTCACCCGAGTGTGCCTGGACAACGGGCGGCTCTCGTGGGAAGGATGCTCCGGCGGCATCTCACGGGCCACCCTGGAGAGGCTTGGGAAAGCACCTGGAATGATGGAGCGGGGGCTTGGGGGTGGGCAAGGTGGGGAGCCACCGGCAACATCGTTGCCCAGCCTTTGCCAGCCGGCGCCACCGACTCCCACGCTGCATGGCGACGGGTGGAGCAGCGGGTATTTTCATACGAAAAAATAAAATAAAAAAAAAAAAATCCAGATTTTTAGCTCAGGAGCAAAAAAAGGCAGGTTCTTACATAATTCCCCCTTTTCCTCCACCCTGCGAGTGCTGCTCTCTCCGGCAGCCTCCTCTCGGCGGGGAAAAAATGACAAACCCCATCCAAAGCCCCGGCAGCCCCGCGCGGCGAGCGAGCACGGAGCGTACTGCACAGCCCATAAAACTCCAAACAGCCTCCAGACACTCCTGCAATCGTCCTCCATCAAAACACTTTGTCTTGCATACAGAAATGCGGCGGGGCGCCGCGCGGAATACCAAATCAGCCCGTGACGGTGCGGGGAGGCGGCTCCTTGGCAACCGGGGGGGCTTCACAGCCGCGCCGCTCGACAGGAAACAAAATCTGTCAAGCCTGTTGGGCAAATGATAAACATTAGCGGTATTAAAAAAAAAACAACACAAAAGCCGCATAAATGGCTGGCGAGCGCGCGGGGAGGGATGAGGAAGGATGGAGGGGCTCTTGCCCCATTTACCCCTGCCCCTCCGCCCTGGGAGAGGGGGTCTCCAGCACCACGACCTTGGGGGAAGTTTGGGAAGTTTCCCCCATCCAGCAGAAAGCTGGGGGAAGCGGGTGGGTGACGATGGGCACGTACATTTAGCGGTAACAAGACGGACGCACATCGGATGCGTTTGGTAGGGGGAGCGCCGTGGGGCGAGGGGTCCTGGCACCTTGCTCCGCACCCCACCTTCAATCACAAGGGGTGGCTGAAGGAGGGGAGCGGGGAGAGGCGGCGGCGGGTGAAAAATTAATATATTTCATCAGGTAAGGGTGGGGGGGAGAAAGCAGCTGGCTCTGACCCAGCGGCTGGGTCCAGGAACTCAGCCAAAACAGGAGCTAAAAAGCAAACCATATTCTTCTGGTCTCAGCTCAGGCTCTCGAGGCAGAGAGGATGGGGGGGGGGCGGTGAGAGAAATGTATTTTTCATCAGCCAGTGTATAATTTATAAACAGCATTAAACAGTTTTTGTTTTCTTTCTTCCTCTCCCCCGTGTGCGCGGCTTGGCCGGCAGTCAAGCCTGCATTAATTTCTGCTGTGGGTACAGTGTGTTCTTGGATGCACATCTGCGGATGATCATAAACGCGGGAACGCTGGCAGAACATCCAGACCTGCCGGCAGGCCGCTGACATCACCCGGGACCGAGCGCGGGATGCCGGCCAGCCGGGGCGGGGGGGGGGGGGGGGGGGCTCCCCGGGGAGCCACCGCGGGTACCGGCCGGGGGCAAGGGGGCCAGAGCCGCCATTGCCCCCGCCTCCGGTCCATCACCTCCCGGCGCCCGCGGGAGATAACGGTGAACACGCTGGGGGAGAAGGGGTGGCGCTCGTTAGAGAGGCGGATGGCGGCGGAAGGAGCCCCCTCCCCTGAAAACAGGCTGGGAGGAGGCGAGGGGTGGGATATACCCTTCCCTCCTGCCCATGGTACCATCCCCAGCTGCGCGTTGGATCCCGCTCCCCGAGCACCCCCTGCTCCCCCAGCACAGCCCGTCCCGTCACCCAAGGGGACCTGGGTGCTTCCCCGTCCCCAGTGGCATGGGATGAATTGAGCATGTTTGGGTGGGGAGGGAAGCCGCTGGCCAGCAGGGCAGGGGGCTGCGGCCGTGCTGCCTGCGTGCTGCCCACGAGCATCCCCGTGTGCCATCGGTGCTCGCCCCCGTTCACAGCCCGGAGTGGAGAAGGGCCATGGCAGCCATCTCGACGGCAGACGTTTCTGCCGGGTGGAGGCAAAGCAAGCGGGGGGGAAGGCAGAAATCCGCTTTCCTTCCTCTCCTGGGGAAAAAACCCAACTCAAAGCAGGTGATTCGGTCACTGGCACCCCAGGACGCGAACGAGGGCACCCGCCGAGTGTCAGCTGCAGTGCGGATGCCCAACCAGCCTCCCCGGGTTGAACTGATGGTGCCCCTCAACCATACCACTGACGAGCTGGGTTTCCCACCTTGCTTTCCCTGGCAATTCATTTTTCTGGAAGAGGGGCAACTCTTAAGAGATCGTTTTTACAGGTTTTTGAGAGCGCGTCTGCAGCTGGGAGCGGGCGGCGCCGGGCAGCACGTAGGGAAAGGCTTTGCACGGCATTAAAGGCTTTATATTTACGCTTTATATTGGAGTGTAAACATTTAGCCGAGTATTTACCTTGCACCTGCAAGGCTGCTGCGATAACATGGCCGAGCGCCTGCCGTGTTGTGGGGGCACCGTAACCCCCCCAGGGCCGATCCCCAGTTTGTTCCTTAATTTAAACGCACCTTTACCATCAGGTATCTCCCATAAACGCTTGGATGGGGAATTTTGAGGTGTGAACCTCCGTTAAACCCAGTGTTTGCTGCCTTTGGCATCGAGGGCTGCTGGAGGGGGGGTTGCTGGGGGTGCACGAGCTGTCCCACTGTGATGCTTTCCCACAGGGCAAACTCCCGATTAAACACATTGTCCGTCGGTGTGGAGGCAAGCCACCTTCGGAGAGCCGCCGTGCTGAAAACAAGCCCTCGCGCCGCTGCCCCGGCACTACCTCCCTGCATCCCGGGCTGGCGGAGGGGGGAGGCGAGGGGAGAGGTGCAAAGGTCTCCTGCTTTAATAAATAACAGCGCTGGAATTCGCGGCGGCTGTTTGCGAGCGCAGGGCAGAGCTCTCCCCACCCCCCCCCGCCCTCGCCGGATTTAAAAAAATAAAAAAATAAAAAAAATAATTAATCCCGCGCGATGACAAGCTTGGCTCGGCGTTCACTGTACATACTGTACCCACAAAGCTGGCCGCCTGCCAGGGACGGGCCACGAGCCAAAGCGACCATAACAAACATGAGCCGCGCGCGCCAGCGCCGGAGCGGGGGGGGCAGCACCCCGGGGACCAGCATCCCGTGTCCCAGTGCTGGGGGCGGACCAGCATCTTGCACCCCAGCACCCGGGGGTATCAGCATCCCGGGGACCAGCATCCTGGGTCCCAGCGCCAGAGTGGGGACCAGTATCTGACACCCCAGGGTCAGGGGGGACACCAGCATCCCGGGGACCAGACCCGGCAACCTGCCGCTGCCTGCCAGCACCCTGGGGAGCCAGTGCCCATCCTGAAAAGTGGTGGGGCGCGGATGGGGTCGGTCGGGGCCAGCTCCAATGCCCTGAAAAGCAGAACCTGCCACCTGGCCAGAAGGGGAGTGGGGAAGGCAGCCCTGCGCCGCTCCCTTGGGTACGGGCAAGGTATATCTCTGCTCTGTGCCCCTTGGCATGGACGAGGGGCAGTGGGAAAAAAGGAATACGACAACAGGGGAAAAGAATAGATAAAAATATATTAAAAAAATATAAACTATAATACAGCTTCCTTGCAAAGCTACCTGCAAGCACAGCTTTGGCTGTGGTACCTGCCAGCCCAAGAGATTTGTCCTCAAAGGAGTGGGATGAGGGCTCCCACCTGCGTTTGAGCAAGGGGCTCTGGTGGCCGCCTGAATTTTTTTACAGTAAACCCCCAGCTGTATAAGGGGCTGCACGCCCAACAGGAACATCAGCCTACATTGACTTGCAGAGCACAAGCCTCCCCACCAGCGCAGTGTTCCAGCCCTTCCCTATCTATTTAATTAAAGGGCCTGCATCATGTGAACCTGCTAGTTAGATTCATTAGGCGGAGAACGCCTAATTCCGCAGCAGTTTTGCTAACGAAACTGCGGCGGGCGCCTGTGCATGAGGAACACGGTGCCGGGACGCGCGCAGGAGCCGAAGCAGAGGCGATGCTCATGCTACAGGCAGGGCTGGACAACAAGCAGCCACATGGTACGTAGAGTTTGTTATTCCGAGCTGCTTAGCCTGGAAAATATTTCCCCAATTAAGGAACTGAAAACAACCTCCAAAAAAGCAAATTTAAATAAATCAAATTACTGGGCACTGGAGAAAAAGTTTGCAACGTGCTGTCCTAGGAAGGGTACAGCCAGCTCCGCATGCATCTCCTCTGGATGAGACGCGCGAGCCAGGCGGCCGCAGCGTCTCTGGGTGGGCACGGAGAGCATCCCCCCGGCCCGCCCTGAGCATCCCCCTCCCAACCCACCTGAGTGAGCCAGTAAGTGCATTCGCAGCCGCAAGCTGTCCAGGAACCGCTTCCCGCACAGCTCGCATCCGTAAGTCTTCATCCCGCTGTGCAGCTTCCTAGGGGAGAACAGAGAGGGGTTAGTCCTCCTGCGTGCGGGGGGAAGGTCGTCCAAAAAAAGGCCGAGAAGCTTCCCGATATTTCACGCAACCTACACATCGCTTGACATTGGTTCTGGTTTGAGAAGCCCCATAGGAAGGACATGGATGGGAGGTCCTGGGTAACTCCCCAGGACTGATGAGGTTGCCTTCTCCCGTGTCATGTTTGTCATTGTTACTAGTTAGAATCTTTTAATAAACCCGATAAATCTGAACTCTAGAGTTAATGCAAAGTATGTGTTGGCAAACTCCTTCCCTATGCACTGAGCGCTTTTGAAAAAGGTACTGTACTCCAAAAAAAAAAAAAATTTAAGAGGTTGTTTGTATGCATTTCTAACCGAATCCCAACTTCCATCCAGAGTCAGCCTGACACAAATCACAAGCAGAAAACTTAACCACCAGCTAGCAAACAGGAAACATGCCACTCACCATTTCCTGGCACCACGAGGCACAAACTAAGCTACGCCCGGGCAGCATTGCACAACCTCCCGACTGCAGCAGCTGAGCCGCATCGCCTATCCTGCACCACGCCAAGGGGCTGAGCATCCCTCAGCATCCCGGGGAGCAGGGGTGGGGCTTGGGTACTGGTCACAGCATCTCCCCCTTTGCCGCGGTGGGCAGCGGACATGGGGCTCGGCCGCAACAGCCAAACCCCACGTTATTTCCCTCTCTTTGCTGTGAAGATGTCGACGCTCCGTCTTTGGGTAGCAAACAACCCACGGCAGGTTGGAGGTCTCCATCAAATGCAATAACCTTGAACAGACAGCGTTTGCACGGACCTGGGCAGAAGTATCGTCCAAGTCTATGACAACCAACTGACCTTCATCTTCCTCCATCAGCTATCGTTGCCACACAACGGCAACCCCTCCCAAACCCGTTCCCCGCACTGCCCAGCCCCACACCACTGGCCCGCCCTGCTGTGGAGGGGCATCCCGAGGCTCGCTCCTCCGAAACAGCTACGGTTCCTCCAAGCATGTGGGGGGACATCACGCAGAACCCGAAACGCCTGGAACGGGTGCTCGTTGCTTTGTTTCACCATGTCAGCTGGTGATAAATGGATGCTTTTGCAAAGCAACACGGCTCTGCACTCGACAGCAGCATTGATAAAAAGCCCCCAAGTCCCAAACGCTTCCAGCCAAGCGTGCTGGCTCCTGCCTGCGAGCCACACCTCAGTTAAGGCGAGCCGTTCGCACCGATGGCCGGGGAGGGCTCGCGACAGGAGCACGTGCAAAGTTTCAAAATCGAATGCTGTAAACAGAGAAGTATTTGTATGTGTTTGAGGAGTAACACGGCAAATCGCTGCATGCCGACCTCTGCTCACATCTGCCATTTATCACCGCTCTGCAACAAGACGAGCATATTTTTATTGCCTTATTGCCAAAGACAAAACAGAAACGGTCTTGCCCAGGGCTGGATGCTGAACCCTCGCTCTGCCGCTCCCACAGGAGGGCTCAGCCCCGGCCGTGCGGGGCTGCAAGGACGCTCGCCTTCTGCACAAGGCCTGGGGTGGGGGGAAATTTAGCTTTGCATGAGCTTTATTTCCCCCCGCCCCGGAGTAAGTTTTACTGGTGTGAGGCTGCTGCTGCACGGAGCTCTAGCGGGATCATCCCTTGCAGCTGCAGAGAGCCCAGAGCCCCCAGCCTTCCCCTGCCCCAGGGCGCATAGGGTCCAATTCCCTGGCAAGCGTGCAAACGTGCAAAGCAGCCGGCCCTCCATCCCACCCTGCAATCCTGCTTTCCAGGGATGTTGAACGGCAACGCTGGAAGTGCCAGACCACAGGAGGAGACCCTGTGATGTTTCGCACTGAGCAAATGCTGCGGAGCAGAGAGGGAGCAGAGAGGAAAAGAGCAGGAGTTGGTTTCAACTCTCAACTTTGCTGTATAATGTAATTATTAATCAGGCTTGTCCTGAATTCACTGTGTCATAGCGGAGGATTAAGAGTCATGCACGAATTCAGGCCAAGAAGGTTTACAATTCAAAGGATTTATCTGCCTTGCAAAAATAAATAAAACACCAGCCTCCTGACAGACTTCTGCTGCCAACAAGTCAGCTAAATAAGTGACAACCTTCTCGTTTTGCATTTTTAATTAGGGACATGCCTGTCACACTTCCCCGGCTCGGGCTGAGCTCGCTGCTGCACTTAACGCCGGGTTTAAACCACTTGGTTAGGAAGAGCGCAGCATCCCCCGTGCCAACATTGCAGCGCTCGCCTCTGAGGCTAGAACGCCTTTTCAGTGAATTAAAGTGAAATTGGTTAATTAGTTTGAGTAAAACTTGGAGGTTTGTTGTGTTTTGTTTTTTTTTAAAGTGAGCCTCAAGAAACAGAGCAGAAACAAAAGGACAAGTTTCCTTTCTCTGCATCACCCAAACCTATAGAAAGAACAGCAAAGCCAACTTGCTCCCAGCAGGGACCCACAAAAGCCAGGGCAGCCCACGTCAAATTGAGACCACCTTCCCGGGTGCAGCAATTTATTCTCACCCCTGTAATGGTGAGACGGACAACAGCGCTCGATGCCAAGCACGGTCCAAGAAAAGGGTGTGCAGGTTCAACCCCCTCTGCCCCCTTCCCCACCAAGGAGAGGGAAAAATATGGGAGCAAGGTGCCCAGTGATCTTGCCGGTGCCAGGGCTCCCTGGAAGTCTGCATCTGCCATCCAACTCGGGCACTGTGATTTCCCCCAGTCGCTTAACCTCCTCGTTGTTTTAATGCACCGGGTGCTCGCCGAGTGATTTATTTGCAATATCTCTATCAACAAATTTCAGCGTCAACAAAAGTTTTCCATTCGGTGCCTGCTTATAGAACGATCTTATCACTCACCATCTTGCACGGTCCCTTTCAACAAGGTCTTAAAGCGCTTTATCTGCTCGGTTTCCCAGTAGCAAAATATGATTGAAATGTTCTATTTCTGCTTGCTGGATTAAGGAGATGTTGCAAAACTGCACAAAAACCTGGCAGATGTAAGCAAGGTATTACGGCTGCTCAGGCTGTTAAGATCTGAGGGGAAAGATCAATATGTGCTTCTAAAGTTGTGCCTCCAGAAAGGGGGAGAGGGGGGGAAGTTAAGGGTGTTAAAATACATCACTGCTAGGCAATGTTGCCCAAACTCAAGTGCAAAGAGATAAACTATGCTTTATTATTCCAATCTGATGCTGAAATTACGCTCCACGTACTCCCTTTCTCCTGCAGGGTCCCTACAAGCAAACCAGCCAAGAAGACACCCATGGGATGGAGAGCAGTGGCAATCGGGAAAAGCACCTTTTCTGTAAAAAGACAGTTTTCCTCTGTAATTCCTGCTCCATGCAACACTCGAGGCGCACAGAACCACGAAGCTGGCTGAAGCCTCCAGGTCACAAGCTGTTGCTGGAGGACGCTCTGACGCAGAGGTTTGCTCAGGGTGGCAAGGATGCTGGTGGCAGGGCATCCCAGGGCCAGGACTGACCTTTGCGAGCGAGCCCTGGCGCGGGTGTTTGGCAAAGGGCTCTCCAGGCGGGATATAAACTGACCGTGGAGCGATACCCCCTCCCCACCTAGTGCCGGCAAACAAAAGCTGGGCGGGAGGCTGGCCCCTCGCAAGCTGCCGGTAATTAAAAAGGCCTGTAAATGCCCCGCAAAAAGCACTTCAAAGGGACGGCGACTCCAGTGAGACCGCGCGGTGTAAAAATTATGAGTTTTCCCCACAGGGTGCTTTGTGTGAAAAGGCCGGGATCGGTGGCAAACGCCACTGCCCGCTCCCAGGGGATGCCAGGGCTCAGCGGAGCATCCCAGGGACGTGGGTACCAGCGCAGCCCTGGTACCTGAAGACCACTACAAGTGGCCCACCACCATGGCAAGCAAAGTCCTGCTCTGCCTGCTTAAAAACCTGCATAAAAATGCCTTCTGCTATTTTTATGGAAGGAGATCTCGCTGCCAGGCCCCTCCCCGCCGCCCCTTTTGGGAAGCGGGGAGGAGACCCCCTCCCCTCCCCACCCAACAAGACACATGGCTTTTGGCCGTTTGATTACTTTTAAGTGTATATTTTTCCCCTCAAACAGAGTGAATACAATGGTTAGGAAATTTGACAGAAAACTATTCCGAGCCATTTATTGCCTTAATGCGCACCTTTGTCCAACAGGCAGTTTTGACAGGAGCGATAAATTCCAAATTTATGTCAACAGAGCATATGTTGAACACCTCATTTCTGAGCTAAAGCGGCATGCTGCCCCATAAATCACCCTTCTGTTTGAAATGAAAGTAGATTACGGGCCCGTGTTATTGAGCAGTTAGAGCCATAGTCATATAAATCAGAACTTTTAACTCCAGGCGATCCGTTCTGCAATTAACTAAAGGGCACTTTGTCATCTCCGGGCTGGGACGCAGCTTGGCAGGGCACACGGCTACCAGGGAAAGGCAAAAACACCCCTTATTGCCACGGAAAGGCTCTAGTGTGGCAGAGTTTTGCTCGATACCTGTTGAAGCAGCGAACCCCGAGGCAAAGCCTGCAGCAGAGTGCTGCTGCAACCAGCCTGGCCTCGGGAGATCAACGCCAAGGGGCTTCAGGGGTTTGCACATCACTGCCCACATCCCTCCCGATCCATATTTTGGCAGCCGGTTCAAACACAGTGGGGGAATCGTAAGGCTGCCATGACGCAAGCAAAACTGCGGAGTCCTAATAAGTTAAGAGGAGTACAAAAATATGCATTAGTGCAACGTTAAGAGCCTTGCGCCGACCCGAAAGTGAAAGGCATGGACAGAAATCTGTCCTCGTGAATTCTGCAGTGGTTTTGCTTGCATCTCCCAATGCCCGTGCAACAGGTCGAGACCCCTGTCCCGCCGCGTTTCACCCCGTCCTGCTGCGTTTCCCGGGGCCGCGGAGCCGGGAGGACGCCACAGGGGCTCAGCCCCATCAGCGTCAGTGCGGAGCCGCGAAGGGCGAGGGGGCTGCGGCAGGCGCGTGGGCGAGGGGGCAGGTTACCGCCCGCGGG